CCCCAAAACCCCAAAACCCCAAAACCCCAAAACCCCTTTATTCAGGCTTTATGTTGAAACAACCTATCACAAGTATACTCAATCTGAAACTTAAGTCAAAATTTCTTGTAAAACTCGCTTGCCTTAAGAAATATGAGAGAATATAAGGCTTGTTTTTAATGAAACTAAGTAGCAAAGTTGTCTGCGCCTATGATGGAGAGAAGAGTAAATAGAACCATTTTATTAATGATGTCATGCTTATAAGTTTTAAATCTTACTTCTCAAAGGAATCTGAAAGGAATTCATATACTCTATTTCATAGTCCTTATCTATTGGCTTTGACATGACCAACACTGATTTGTACTTGTCCCAATACCTCTTTGAGATGAATCTTAGCAGAGGTTCAATATTTGAGCCAATGAGTCTAGGTATTTTATGCTTTCCTCCATGTAAAAACACAGAGTATTCTCCCTCTGATACTACTCACTTTTCAATGTAATAAATTAAAGGGTCGTTCTTCCCATAAAGATAGAATAAAGGTTGTTCATACTTTGTGTGCAAGATTTCGTAGTCTTCTGGTCTATCATGGAAAGGATTTAGGTGATAGTAAGCCAAGGCAGCTACCAGAATTCCAAAATTAAGAGGATAGTCAAGCTTTTTACAATATTGACGTAATTCTTTATTTTTGAGCAGTAATCTAGCAACAAGTCATCCCTGAGAGAACCCTAAAACTCCATCATAAGGGCCAGTATTGTTGATGTAGTCTATAACATAATTAGTAGCTTCAAGGGTCCCAGTCATTTGTTCTCTTTCCATGTCAAGATTCCCCCATCCATAGAATGGCCCTTCAAATTTATTTTGTTATTTGTGGATCATATTCATAATCGATCTTGTAGACACCATTAAGAAATTCAAAAGTAGCGAAATCCTTGAAAGCAGTCATATAGAAGTCCATTTGGTACCTCATAACATCAACATTGTTGTAATAACCATGCAGGCATAAAATTCTGAGTTTCTTGGCAGGAAATGACATAATTTAATTAAAAATATCAAATTATTAAATTTCCCACGGGGTTTTGGGGTTTTGGGGTTTTGGGGTTTTGGGG